TAGTCAGTTCAATTGTAATTTTTTTATTTTTATCAACGGATTTGATTGCACCCTCACCAACAACGTGTATCGCATCCAGGTCGGTAGATGCACGATTTAAAATCAGTTGCTGATTGCAATTCAGTAATATTTTTTTATAGTCTTCACAAAAGCCGAATAAATGTTTTAGAGGGATACACCCGGCAAATACATTGTTGCTCATAAAATTTTTATTATCTTCAGTATCCATTGCCGAGTCCCAAGCCGCATTCTCTAACGCATTCAAATCGTTTGGAGTATACGAGCAGTATGCTTTCAAGCAAGAAGACACTCCAGGTGATTTCAATTTTTGTATTTCTATTCCGTTTATTTCATATCGCATCTCGGAGAATAAAAATGCCAATCCGTTATTTGAAAAACGAACATCTCCAACTGCATCGGCAGGTTTATTTATTTTCCCCTCAATGTAAATATAACTCTCACACGGCAAAGTGTAAGAATCCATGTTTTGAACATTAATTTTAATTTCTTCATTGTATGATAGAGCGGTGCTTGAATACGGTGTGAACTAATGGAAACTCTTTTGAGTTATTTTACAATCGTCGACATAGTCGGCCGTCACGTCTAAATATAAGTCATCCATCATTGTAAAGAACGAAGAAAATTTAAATTATTTTTCGTGAGCTTGATATTTTTCGGTTTAGATGTAGACTTCTTAACGGCAGGCGGTATACTGATAGGTTTTTTGACTGTAGCTCTTTTTATATTAAATTTGAGTGCCATATCCACGCGTTATTTGTAAACGAATTGTTATCGGTTCGCCACGCAGATTAATCAGACAATCGTTCTGATCTTTTAGCACGATATTTACTTTAGTTATTGAAGTCGTGTTGAGACCGTAAAAAACTGGATGCCTAGGTACCTCAACGATTTTATATCCCGCAGGTACAGTAGGATAAAGCTCGTGTATGATCTGGCTCGAGGCTCCGTCACAGAATGAGCCGGTGATTAAGTTGCACTCTACTTTTATATAGTTTATTTTCATTATGTTGACAATATTTTCAGATTCATGAGTAGCACCAGTAGTGTATAGTACATTTCTAAAACCTAGCAATTTTGCTATGCTATTCTCGACTCCTAAATCAACGCCATGGCTGCACGATATCATACACTTTAATGTTCTGCTGTTTGCTTTTAATTCAAACATACTGACATACTCAGGCATCATATTTTGTATAATAGACTCTAACTGATTCAACTCATATGTTCCCGTAGGTATAATTACGTACTCATTTTCATTGATCAAATTACGGAAGGCAATAGTATTGCAGCCAGGCTCGATGTTTGGTATAGAATTATTCGTCTGTAAGCTCAAAAGACATATCTGTGCAGTATTTTCTACTTCCAACGGTGGAAAGATCTCGCATGACAACTCACTAGAGTTTCCGTTTAACGTTAATGTGTACACAGTACATGATAAAAATTTTAAACACAAGTGCCCACAGTTTGTAGTATTATATTTCTGCTCGCTGCTGTAATTGAAATGTATGTCACATCCGTGAAAATATTGTTGTACTTCTAATGGTGGAGGTAAATTCCCAAAACTGTCATAATATTCGACTTTTTTTCCGATTTTTTTATACGCTACCCAATGCGTTCCAGTACCGTTTTCTGTATCCAAGTTAATAATTGCTGATTCTTGTCTCTTAGGAGGTGTAGATAACCTATCTCTGGTAAACACTCCGATGAAATGAGGTATTTTCATCATGCGAGCATATTTTATAAGTTCGTAATCGTACAACGCTCTTCTGGGTAACGTAGATATTAGTTTTTTGACTTTCTATATTTTCTCGCTTTTACACTCCCACCACTTTTATGCGATGTTTCTATTTTATATGAGTTGCCTTTATACGGTGTGAGATATAACCCTTTGCCCAAATGTAGGGATGGAGTGTTTCTATTAAATTCATTAGCAACCTTCACAACGTTGGCTACGCCGCCAGTCAGAGCTCCTAGAGCTGACAACCCGGCGAAAATCGGTGTGAGTGGTAGCACACCGCCTTTTTTCGGAATATTTATTGTTCGTGGAACTTTAGTCTTCTTAATTTTGAATGTTTTTCACGCGACGGCTACACATTTTTTAGTCAATTTCATCAAGTTTTTTTCTCCGATATTTTTCTTTATAACATTTTTAGTGGCTTTAAGTGCTGCTTTAAAACCACAGCCGCCACCTACTTTACGTTTTGCTTTCATGGCAGTAGTCGCACCCCAAGCCACAGCTTTTTCTTTTAAACTAGAATCTTTTGACTTGAACCTATCCCAGGCCCGCTGCTCTAATATATAATCGGCTTTGTTACGATCTGCGATAGAGTAGCTATGTTCGTACGCAATATCGTAGTCTCTACAAGCAGAGTCCAGAGGGTTTATACCTTTATCACCACGTGCTAATCGTTTTCCTAAATTTGTACCAGGTCCACAGTATTGATAACCTAAAATATAAAATTATTAGAAAATATAATATTATCGGATTTATAATATAATATACCAGGCACGTGAAGCTCGATTGGTTATTTGTTTATAAGCGTGTTGATCATGCCACTGCCTTTATTCTTGCTGCTTCTTCGAGCGAGTGACATCGTGTACTGATTACATTCTCATCGTTGCTCAGTTATTTATAATGAAGTTCATCAAACAAAAAATAAAACTATCAGTTGAAAACGTGGACCCACCTACATCGTTTATGAAACAGAGACACGGGGCGCTCCTACCTAATACGATACGTGCGCTTATCGTGGGTCCTTCTGGCTGTGGAAAAACAAATTTAATTTTCACTTTATTAACCAATATAAACGGAATACGATTTCACAACGTATACATATATTCAAAAACATTGGATCAACCTAAATATAAAATGCTAAGTGATATATTATCAGACACTGATGGTATAAAATTATTTACATTCTATGAAAACGAACAAGTTATTGAACATGAGAAAGCTTTAACAAACTCTGTATTTATTTTTGACGATATTATTACTGAAAACCAAAAGATTGCAAGAACTTACTTCTCCAGAGGTCGTCATAATTTAGTTGATGTATTCTATCTGGCTCAGAGTTATTCAAAAGTACCAAAACAACTTTTGCGCGATAACGCTAATTTTATTGTATTATTCAAACAAGACGAAACTAATTTAAAGCATGTATACAATGAGCATTGCTCTGGCGACATGTCATATTCAGAGTTTAAAGACTTTTGCACTTCGTGTTGGCGTCTGGGGAGATTTGAGTTTATCGTGATAAACAAAGACTGTGAACGTGACAACGGTCGATATCGTCATGGATTTGACACGTTCGTCATTATATAAAGTGTTGTTATTGTGGAAATGATTCATTCGCAGTCATGGCTGTCAGTGGTGATGTACTCGGAGAACTGATTAAAGCCAAAGAAAATATCAAGCGCAAGTATACAGCATTAAAACAAGGAAAACCCGACATTCATTCATTAGTATCAGAAACGTTAAGTATGATTATCGAACCATTAGAAAAAATAAAACGTTTCGGTCTATCAACATTTCAAGCTCCGCCTACACAGCAAGACATTCAAGATTCTCAATATTTTAACGACACAGACGATATAGACAAGACGTACGGACCTAAAATACAAACAAATGGAAGTGTACACTTAGGTAAAAAAGAAATCAAACTCGTTGATAATACGTTAACTATTGAAGATACATCATATCCACTTACACAAGGACTTGGTAATTTAATATTTTCAAAATCTCCAAAATTATACACCAAAAACGATTTAGAAACATACAAGTCTGTATTAATTCAAACATCGGCGCATCTAAAAGCAGATGGGAAAAAAATTAAAAAAGGCGGAAATAAATAATATACAGATATAATCCAAAATCTGTTTCCATCGGGCGCTGGGCTGTCAGTTAAATTACAAAAACATAATTTAGTATACTGGAACGACCCAAACGAGTTAGTCGATCGATTACGACTTCTTTTAGCTTCTAAAGCTGCTGGTAATACAGGCGTTTCGAATGAAATACTCTCGATTTTTGAAGAATTGCGTGAAGCAGGGTTAATAAAACGTATTCCAAATGTCTAAACGTGATATAGCTTATGAACTCCACAAACCAGCTAGAAAAAATTATACGAGACGTAGAGTTAATGTTTATGACAAAAACGATCTATGGCAGGCAGATTTAGTCGAAATGATACCGTATTCGAAAAAAAATAAAGGCTATAAATATATTCTATGTGTAATTGATTGTTTTACTAAATTTGCATGGGCGACACCATTAAAATCAAAAACTGCTAAAGAAGTTTCCAGCGCAATGTCTAAAATACTGCTTAAACGCACACCAAAACTATTACAGCTTGATAATGGTAAAGAATTTTACAATTCTACATTTGATGCGTTAATGTCTAAATACAACATACACAAATATTCTACGTACAGTACTATGAAAGCGTGTATTGTAGAACTTTTCAACCGCACATTGAAAGAAAAAATGTTTAGAGAGTTTACGGCACGTGGCTCTCACGAATGGGTTTCTATTTTACAGTCGTTGATTAACGAGTACAACAATTCAAAACATAGAACTATAGGAATGACGCCTGTACAAGCTGATGCTAATCCTACGTCAGTGAAAATAATGACATTTTTTTTTTTGCTAAAAAAATTATATGTTATATAGTTCCATTCAATAATTATAGGAAAAATCATAAAAAAAAAAATATTTTTTTTTCCCGGTAAAACTAAGGGTTTAAGTGTATAATGCATATATGCACTTGCATGCAGTTACGATGCCTAATCGAAACCCGGTTGAATTACCTACATTTTCTTGTGAATGATACTATGATACTATGGTACTATGATAAATATAAATATTATAACACAACGACAATATAATTATGATACTAATAATAGTTTATTTTACTTCTTATTACATATAACTAATTTTTTACATAGGTATATTTTGAATTTTAAATTTTTATGTTACCTAACTAAGAACAATGAAAATCAACAAAACAGTTTCTATCGTTATTGTAACATAAATATACACAACATTTGGAACATTTTGTGAACGACTGAAATTTGCATTTTGGCATTTTGCATACCCGTCTTTGCTGTTCATAGTTTGGCCAATGTTCTAGACAATCTCTTCTTATCTCGTTAAACGGCGCAGATGGTGTTTGTGTTCGTTTTTTTTTAATATTTTCTTGTATTTCGAATGAACCTGAGGGCCTGCCTTTTCCTCGTTTGGCGATTCCACTTTGCATAAGAGTTACAGATAAATGTTCTCGGAATTTGGCCAATGGCATTGTGTTGCCCGTAATTTTTTTGTACATTAGCCATGAATTCACGACTGTCATATCTAATAAGTGATAAAATATTTTTATGTACCATTTTTTTGATCTCATTATTATTCTGTACCGTCCTATCAATGAATCCATCAGATCAACACCGCCCATGTGCTTATTATAGACTTCGATAATTTTTGGCCTCTCAACGTCTACATTTTTTTTTTGTTTTTTATCGTATCTACGTACTTTGGTTGGTTCGAGGGCGCCAATGAAAGTGGAGGTAACATTTACAATTTTATTGTCTTTCCACGACACTGTTGTAATTGGTACACCATCAACTACTGTTAAACATTCATCATATGTTCCTCGAGGTTTTTTAAGCATTTCTTTTTCAGGCATAAGCGCTATATCGGGAAATCTATTCCTCCTAAACGTCCCTACTGTGTGTATACCTAATTTTTCTAAATACACCATAACTGGAATTGACGTATAATAATTGTCGAAGTATAGTTTATGGTGTTCATTTCTCGGTATCACTCTCGAAAGTCTAACTACGACATTACCTGTTGCACCTAAGTCAGGTTCAAGCATTTGCTGGCGTTCTAGAGAATTGTTTTCGTTACCCGTGTAAATTTCAAAATTGTAGGCGTAACCTTTTACTCCACAGAGAACAAATAATTTATAACCCCATTTATGAGGTTTAAGGGGTAAATATTGCTTCATATACGAACGCGCCTTTGTTGGGCACAACTGTTCATCTAGTGCTAGAAATTCGTCAAAAGGCACAGAAGAAAATTTTGCTTTTAGTAATTCAACAATCGGACGGATTTTGAACAGTCTATCACGGTCTTCGTGATTTGGAGGGAGGTCTAAATTATTATTATTGAAATGTAGAAATCTTTTTATTCTTTCGAAATGATTTACGCTCATGCAGTTCTTTATAGGCATATTTCCTAAATTATCTGACCAATATGATCTCGAGTTTGGAACATGGTCAACGGACATCATAATAAGTATTCCAAGAAATCTTTGTAATTCAGTTTTTGAAAGGATAATTGGCTTTGAAGGGTCAACTTGCGTGCTGTACAATTCTGTTTGCTCAGTTATTATTGATAATAGACAGTCATCGAAAAAATAATTAAAAAAATCTTTAGGCGTTTCTAAATTTTTTAGTTCATGTGGCATTGGAAATTCAGTTTTAAATTTTATAACAGACTCATTTTGTGTAAAATTACCTTTTATCCATGTTGGTACTCACCATTTTCACACACTAACAACATATCATAGTCAGTCAACAATTCCAACTTTATTGCAGTTTGCTTTAGCATAGCGTCAAAGCTAAAGGCAGGAGCGGTAAAGTAGTATGCCGGGTCTAAATTGTATGCTTTCATACACACATCACGAAAATTTTCGAAAATGTCTGCCAGTAAAAGCACATCAATTTTCAAGTAAAAATCAGAATATTCGCCAAGTGTTTGACATCCAAAGTGATCCCAGACCTCGGCTGCAAACTGATATTCACTATCTTCAATGTTTTTTTCCGTCAATGAGCTATAAAAGCCTTCCTTTGGTGGCAAAGTTGTTTGCTCAAGCTTGGACCAGTCATCCGTATATTCATATGGGTATACCCCCTTTCGGGTAACCAGTGGCATATCCTCGGCAGAAAAATGCTTAGATGTTTCACAGAATTTCGAAAAATCTGGCGTCAAAAGATTTTTAGCTAAATTCTCCAACTTTGTTGCCATAAACCTACACGTGTCTACAAATCGTATGGTAAACGATTTGCTAATATATTTTGAAAATGTTATAAATTTTTCCTCGCTATTAGGAATTACTTTTATTGTTTTTGCATCATACCCCAATTCAGTGACTATAAAATGAGCATCGTAATTAGTTAAATTATGAAAAAAACATGGAACGAACTTAGTCTGTTGTAAACTAATATTACATTTAGAACATAATGTCTGCCTAAATTTTCCGGACAGGTGACAATGATCACGGACTTTATCATTTTTATTAAGGATACATTTACAAAGATTGCACTGATTATTTTCATTATGCCTACGTGTATCTTCATCACTCATACATATAGGAACATTTGTCTTTAATAACTCTTCAATTTTTAAACCTACTTCTACAATACTATTTACAAAATGCCTTGCAACCTCCTCTCGATTACCACTACCGCGAAAAATAACCGGAGAAGTCGGTATATTGAATTTTTCAATAAGCTCCAACGGTACGTCTTCAGATGCCTTTACTACAAAACCATAACTCATAGGTTTATGCCTATGTATTATTCTCGTATTCTCACCCCTGCGCTCATCGGTCTTTATTAGTAACGCCTCAAAATCTCCATAAATTGCGAAAGGGTGACGTTGTGCATTTCCCCACGCTTTAAATTCAAGCCTTCTGTCAACTTCGGGCATAATGGGGAGAATAGGCTTATGTGACCCGCAAATAAGTTTATGTTGTTGGAGAGCTAGCTGACCGCTTAACTTATATTTTAAATTTTGGTTATCAAATGACGTGAACCACCGTTTACAATAATATACCGAATGGCCGTGTAAGGTAGTTTGTGAACGAATAAGACGTGAAAAATTTGAAATATATACATAGTGACTTTTTTCACCGTCACTGAATAAAATGATATCGAAATGGTTTGCTTTTTCGTCATCTACTACTTTTATTGGATATACATGACTACGTTCTAAAGTTATTTTTTTAACTCCGTAAATATTTACAGACACTCCCGGGTTATTTTTTTCAAAAATTTTAACTTCACACCACGGTGTTGGGAATGATAAGCCTGTGAAATTATATTTGTTCTCATGCTGGTAATAATTTTCGCCTACTCGATGTTTATTTAGACCTGTCACGTGCTTTGCTAAAATTGCCCATTTAAAACAATATTGATCATTGTTTTGTGGGTTAATGGTGGCCCGTTTATTAATTAAAGAAGGTGGAAGCTTAATGTAGGATGATCCAGCTAGAGCGTAATTATCAGTTTGTTCGTTAAAAGAACTATTATGCCGGGTCCACACAGAGACGACAAAAGTAAAACAAAACAAAAACTCTGTGTTTTTCGACAAAATCAAAACATTTTTAAAACAATTTTGTTTTTTTCAACAAATTGTTCGTGTTTTGAAAAACAAAGTCGTGTCCCGAGCGGTGTCGGTAAACATCAAAAGGTTTTGGTTTTGTTGTTGTTTTTGCGAACACTGTCGAACGTGTGTGGACATGTTTTCAAAACAACCAACAGGCAATATTTTTTTTTCGGGATTTCGCGGGCAGTACCGATTTGGTTATTAATATATTATATTTATTATATAATTATTAATTATACATTCGCTGTCTACCATTTTAGTATCAATTAGTCTGTCGTACTGTTGACGTACACGACACGTGTGTGTTTGATTTAAATTTTCGAAAATAAAAAATTTAGTTTTATTTAAGTTTTATTTTGTTTAATTAAAATTATTCGGTGCAATTCGGTATAACTAAGCAAAAAAAATGAATAAAAAAAAAATGGACTACTGAAGAAACGTGCAAGCTGATTGAGTTGTACCGTGAATCCCCAATAGGTATTGTGGGATGCCAAAAACTTAAACCATAAAAATAAATTCAAAACAGCTGATGCATTGAAAGAAATAGCGATCACATTCAATACTGATTCTAGTGAAATAGACAGGAAGCTTAAAAATGTATACTCGCAATACACAAGAGAAAGGCGTAACTATAAAGCTATGAAAAAATCAGGAGCTGGAAAAGAATTTCATGCTAAATGGTTCGGATATGACCTTATGAGTTTTCTACAAGATAAAAATAAACCTAGGAAAACACGAGAATTTGGATTAGATGAATGTCAGGTATGTATAAATATTAATAATTATATTACTTTATTTCAAAATATTTAAATAAATAAGTATATACATATTTTAATAGTTGCCATGTAGTACAGTGGTGCAGTACACAACTCATCTAGGTAGTCACTAAATATAATAAATAAATACAAATATTTTTACAACATTTAATCATAAAAATATTCATAACAGAAAAATATTATAACATAAAAATAATAAATACATAATTACACTTCGTCACTGCCATTCCATTTCATTCAAGTTAGGTACTATCGTGAATCAAATTTAAATTTTTTCCAATATGTTTAAAAAAAAAAAATAATTTTTACGCTACTACGCTATTAAGTATACCTTACAAAAACAATGAAAAATAATAATGATAATAATAAATCGAAATATTTGATATTTTTCGTAGTAAAATATATTTAAAAAAATATATTAATAATAGTGTTTTCAAAATTAGCAATAGTTTAATTGCCATGGAACTTCACCTTCATGTGAGATGAAGTATTCACTAAATTCGTCTCTAACTTCTGCAGCTTCGATCGATGACTTTCGGGGAACTTGATGAATAGGTAAAAATGATTGTAAATTCTGATGTTCTCTTCTCCAGGATCCTGTTTCTACTGTTCCACTATCTAACTGTTCTGAATCAAATGTACCTGGTGGGTTGTATATGGTTTTCGATGAATGTTTTCTTAAATAATTATGAAGATGAACACAAGCCAATACTATTTTATCAACTTTTTCCGGTTGCAGTAGCATAAGTTTTCGAAATACTCTAAATATTGACGCAATTATACCAAATACGTTTTCTACAACTCTCCTAGCACGACTGAGACGGTAATTGAATATACGATTTTTCGAAGCTTTAGGCTGATGTCCGCTATAGGGTTTCATTATATTGGGTGAAAGAGGAAAAGCATCATCAGCTACGAAAACATATGGGCTCAATTTGTCCCGACCTGGCAGCGCTCTTTTATCTGGAAGGTTCAAAGTAGAATTTTCCATGAGCTTTTGGAATCCAGTACTTTTAAATACTCCTCCGTCCGATATACGACCTTGACAACCAACATTAACGTAAATAAAATTATAGTTAGCATCTACAATAGCAAATAGTACAATGCTAAATGTGCCTTTATAGTTATAAAAATCACTTCCACTTAGTATTGGTGCTTCAATAACAACATGTTTTCCGTCCATAGATCCGACGCATTGAGGAAAATTCCAAATTTTATTGTAATCAAAAGCTATTTTTTTCCATTCTTCTGACCTTGAAGGCATCTAAAATTATGATATCAAATTTTCAGTCTAGGTATAAGACATAATATTATACACTTATCTACGGTATTAAAAAAAAAATTGACCTATAATTGGTACCTATAATAAATTCCAAATTATAATTTGATTATAATCATATAATAATATCCATTAGGTAGGTACTTAAATGTATACATCAACAATAAACCGTGGTACTATCATAGATATATAAAGTATAGTAGGTATACTAAAGTATAGTATAGTATACTTTAGAAGATTCAAGTACCCACGAATAATATTATACAATCACAACAAAATAACTAAATAGTTATTCAATAGGTTTTTTAATATGTAATTTCGTCCAAATTTGAACTTAAAATGACTATAAAAAAAATTGTGCTAATGTATTTTTAATATTTTTCAACTACAATTGTAACAATATACCAGGAGTCTTGTATTAAATTTTTACACTTTTTGGCCCAACAGATAAAACTTTATTGATATTATTATAAAAAAAAAAAATAAAAAAATTGAAATATGAAATTGTCCTTTAACAGCTCAAAACAAGTCAAAATATTTTAAAAATTCTATCAAGTATAAAAATTGATAAAATAAACATTCAGTATAATTTTCATGTATCTACAGTTATTCGTTTTTGAATTACAACAAAATAAGTAAATCGCTAAATGAGAAATCGAGTGAATATCGAAGGTTGTAAAAATTGCATTTCAAACGCTCATTAATGACGCTTACATTTGACTTTTTTATAGACATTTTTTTTTGTTGATAAAAGTAGATAAGCTTATAAGGCAACTTGTGTTACATTTTAAAATCTAAAAAGAAAATTATTTATGAATTTCTAACTCAAAATAATTTGCAAATTTTCGTAATTTTTAAGTATTTTGTTAATATTTGAACTTTAAATGCTTATAAAAAAAACTGTGACTTTGGATTTTTAATTTTTTTCATGTGCCTTTGAAACAATATACTAGGAGCCTTCTATTAAATTTTCAAGCTTTTTTAACCAACTAATAAAATTTTATTGATATTTATAGAAAAAAAACTAAAAAAAATAGAAACAGAAAATGTCCGTAAACATCTCAAAATAAGTCAAAATATTTGGAAAATGTTACGGTGTATAGAAAATGCTAATATAAACATTTAGTGAAAATTTCATGTACCTAAGGTAATTTGTTTTAGAGTTGCCTACACCAAAAGCCAAAATCAAATTTGTCAAAAACCGATTTTGCGTAAAAATTCTTCCCGTTTTAATTTTTCTTTTGTTTTTCCGGGCGCTTTTGAAAACTTTTGGGAATTTTAAATTTTTACCTCCCATAAGTACCTACTAGATTCGCTTTGCCATCGAACAAGATACTGAAGTTGAAAATCGAAGCATTATTTCGACTACTATAATCGTGTACACAGATACTAAAATAAAAAAATAAAAAAACACACATCATTGTAAAATCAATCGCTCCGTTCAGAATCGAGAATAATAAATCATCTAAATTTATTGTAAATATAGTTACATAGACTTAAAAGTTAAAATTTTGAATAGGTAATACGAAAACTTAAAATATAATAGTAATTATGGTTGATTTAATTTGTGGGTACAATCCGTACATGATAAAATAGTTGGTGTACCAGTTCGAATTTGGCTTAAAATGGTTCTAGGTTCGATTCGATAGAAAATATGAAGGTTCAGTTCGGGTTCGATAAAATAATTTTAAGTTAGGTTCAAGTTCGGTTCGATTTAGAAAATCATGGTTTGACCTTTCACTAATTCAAATCATATGAAAATGATTAAATAAATAATATGAAGGCATTGAAATTATTTTAATATTGTTGGTTTAGCAAAATGACTGTGTAACCAGCGATGATGAGGATGAACAAAATATTGAGGTATGCACAACTATTTCCAAATCTAATGAACATGAAGGAGCTGCTAATCAATTCGAAGTGGATGAAATCAATGAAGAGCCAATACAAATGCTAAGTAATGCTAAAAATGTATCAGACACTCCTCCCAATAAGTCGTCAAAAGTATCACATAAGTTCCTAAAATCATCCAAAAGCTCTAAAGAAATTGAAGATAAGTCTCAAGACGTATTTGAAATGATGAAATCTATATAAAAAAGCCGCATGGAACGTGAAGAGAAAAACTTGGATGAATTTGTGTGTTTGGTGATTTAGTGTCACGCAAATTGCGTGTTCCTCGTACGCGTTATGCACAATGCACGGTGCAGAATTTAATGAGCAATATCTTATATGAAGGTGAGATGGGAAAATACGATGAACCACCACAGAGAAATAATTGTTATCCTCTTTATGACAATTATCACGGTAATACTTCATCAGCTTCCGCATCGAACGTTTCCTATTCCAACCCTCCCAGCGTCCAAGAAGTTTTAGAAACAACTTCAAACATAGATATGTCTGATTATTTACAATGGAAAAATCCCTTAGAATAATTAGAAAATAAGTTAGTTTTCATTTTTTTTTTTTTTTAACAGTTAAAAAATTATGTTTTCATTTTTTAAATATTGAATTGTTTTAAAATTAAGTGCAAGTACATGAAAAAAAAGTTTCTGTTTTTTTTTTATATTTAAATATAAAAAAGTTATGCTACGTTATTTAAAAGTTATTATTATTATTTGTTATTCTCATATTAAATATTTTTCAGTACCTACCTACTTCAATTACAACAAATATAGATATTTATTTGTAAAAAAAAAAACACTTATAATAGATTTATTTTAATAATTTATTTATGTATGTGCCTACCTTAATATACTCCGAAAGAGCTTTGACTATTGCTTCACAAACTTCCGGAACTATAAGTGATATTGACTGAGTAGATATTTTAAATTGATACATCATGCTATGGTGAGAGTCTCCCGTTGCCAAGAACCTTAAAGTCAAAGCTAAACGTTCAGTCTCACTAATAGCAGTTCTCCAATTAGAATTTTGTTTGTGGATTGCTGGACCAATGAGACATATTAAGTTTTCGAAATCTTCAGTTGACATCCTCAAAAAGTTTTTAAAGCTAGATCGCAATTCTCCGTTCAAACCAATATCATCATCTTGTAAATTCTTTAGAAGTTCATCGACACCAAACAAATTTCTTTTTTGTAAAGTTGGTCTTACCCAAAAACGTCTTTTAATCTTATTATTTATTTTTTTACTTTGTAACTGTAGGTTATATAATATACCCAGCACCCAACATAAGTAAATTTTTATGTTCTTCAATATCTCTTTTTAATTTCCACATTTTCACTCACAGTAAAAAAATTTAAAAAAACTTGTACGAAGAGTTTAAAAAGCTAGAATTCTGAAGACAGACTGAAACTGAATGACCACGGATGAACGAAATAAAACGACGAGTTTATATTTCTGTGTGGATAGTTGAAAACAAAAACAAAACACGAACAAATGTTTGAATTTTGTTCATGTTTTGTTTAATTCTTACTCAACTCAGTATGGACACATGTTTTGTTTGTGTTTTATTTTTTTCAAACTTCAAAAAGAAGGGTTTGAGTTTGGTTTTTGTTTTGTTTCTGTGTCGTCTCTTTGTGGACCCGGCATTATCTTGTGTATTATTAGTATTGTTATCGGTATTATTATTGGTATCGGTATTATCGTAATTATCAGTTTGCTGGTTAAAAGAACTATTATCATGTGTATTATTAGTATCGTTATCGGTATTATTATTGTTATCGGTATTATTTTCGTTGTCAATATTTCTAATCGGGATTTGAATATTTGGAGTATCACCCATGGGTGTGTATTTGTAAACTGTTAATAAAAGTCCATCAATAGATTCCAAAACATAACCACTACCCTTTGCTGCATAAATTTCCTCCTCGTATAATAATGTAGTGAACGCCTCATCTATTAACAAAGTTATATCCGAATCAATAAAGATTGGCCTAGCCGATGTCTTGAAAGACCTGTTTTGTGAAGAGTTTTCTACATTAGGCTGACTGTACTTTGCTTCTAGTTTTAAATTAAATTTAATTGGCGATATGGTAACAATTGATTTTAATAAATCAACAAGTTCTATTTTTAACGATTGGAAAAAAGAAATATAATTTTTAAAATTGTTTAGATTTTTAGCGTAATACCATACGATTTTTCGACAGTGTGCGGATTTAACTTCGACAAATCCTAGTTTATTAGTTATATCCATTCGAGCCTTTTTTGATTTAATGCGGGATGCTGTGTTTTCAACGTGTACACGCTTTCCCCCTACCATAGCCATATAAGAATCTACTTAAAAATAAATAGAAATAAATAGAAATCTAGCGCCAATAATAAAAATAAAAAAAATCTTACTTGTCGTATTGCATAATCCAGCACTTTCAGCATTCCTCAAAACTTCCACACAAATTTCATCATTCCCGTCGTTAAAATCATCGGACGGTATATTATTCATATCTTTAGGCTGTAATCCTGATGGCTGATCTGTTCTATTCTGTTCTACTTCACATCGTTGTACATCTTGTACTTGTGGAGAGATTACTGTATTATCACCCCGTACACGGTTGTGAGTGTTTTTCATATGGCGAACAAGGTTCGACTGGTAACTAAATGATTTAGTACATTGCAAGCACGGAAAGCAGACTTTATCATGCGTTTTTTCATGTCTCATCAAATTGTCCTTACGCGTAAACGTGGACGGACACTGTTCGCATTTAAACATATTTAAAAATGAAAACGAAAAGAAAAACACTTGTAAAAATATTAAAACACTGTAAATTTTTTAAAGTCGGCGCGAGGGAACGAGAACGATGAATGTGTCGGGTAGACTAAACCGTTTCAGCTATACTCGGTGATATATATAAGCAGAGGTACGCTAATGCTTCTTGTGACAGATACTTGTATTATTAGTGTATGAGAGGTGGCTATTAAGACATCCTGGCTATGACAATAATTTGGCTATTAGGGTTAATGTATTTGTCATTAATTGGTATCTTCTATTCGGTATACTATAGGTATAATGGTCATTTATTGATATTTTTCATTAATTGGTATCTTCTATTCGATATTCTCTAGGTATAATGGTCATTTATTGATTATTTTATAATGTTTCCTTGTGTGTGTACAAATATTGAATACGAATAATATCTAATGGCAGGAAATATACGACGGAAGCATCATTGTGGTCTAATGTTAAGATGGGTGCAAACGTGAGAGGTGGCTATTAAGACATCCTGGCGATGATAATAATTAGGCTATTAGGGTTAATGTATTTTTCATTAATTGGTATCTTCTATTCGATATACTATATGCATAATGATCATTTATTGATTGTTCGGCGAGCGTGCGAACGGATGTCTATTTTCTAATGACAATACGCGCAGCTGCAAGCTATTATTAAATGTTTCTTTTGCAGTTTTATGTAAAGTAAGTAATACTTAAGAATCCGCGACATCCTGGCGACAGTCTGTAGACTGACTATTATTATACAGGCTGAATTGATAGCTAATGCTTCTTCTATTCGATATACTCTAGGTATAATGGTCATTTATTGATTGTTCGTCGAGCGTGCGAACGGATGTCTATTTCATCCTTTCATTAATTGACTCCTAATGACAATACGCAGCTGCAAGCTATTATTAAATGTTTCTTTTGCAGTTTTATGTATTTAACGTACCTGTTAAATAGGGCAAGTTATTAATATAAAGTGTATGTGACGGGGTGGTGCAGTGGTACGGTGAACGCTTGCCGAACCGACGGACTCGGGTTCGAATCCCGGACCGGAAAAAATTTTTAGATTATTTTCGGACGTAACATGTGATAAAATACGATAACGGATATAATATGATAACAGTGATAACGGAAATAATTTGATAACAGTGATAACAATAATATAACTAACGCTCAGCAGCGTAGTGCGGGGATGCGGGCGGTGTGATGAGTGATGAGGATGCGGTGTCAGGATCGGGCGGCGGCGGCGGCGGCGGATGAGGATGCGGGCGGTATGATGAGTGATGAGGATGAGGGGATGAGGGATGAGGTTTTAGAATCGGCTAAAATATACTACTCATATGTGTTTTATCATTGTTTTCAATATATTCTTTACTTTATGTATAGCGGTGATAGATATAGATGTACTTGATCTTATCTCATTGAAGACATAAACCTTACATTCAACTTATCCTATAAGAATTTCATATAAAATATGCACTTATTGCATATGAGTGTACACAGTAAAACACATGAGCACATTACACCTAACCAATACAAGATTATATTAAATATGTATGAACACTCAACCATGAAAAATTCAACTCACTGTATTTTAACTTTTATTATGAGTGTTTACAAGCAATGAACAAAATACTTATACTATATTTTACTACTGACTTAAACCGTCTACTCTCCTTTAATTGTTATCATTTCATACGTGGTAGGTACTCTTAGACACGTTTATGATATTTAAATGCCTATATAATTTCATATAAATGCATTTAACCATGCTACATTACCCTCAAACTATAGATTACCCATGTTTACTGATATTGTATACTTAATATTGTGTTTACACAGTAAAATGAAAGTAATGATATACATTCTACTCTTGGTTTTTATTATACGTTGTTACTAATACGTTAGTACAGCATAGATACATATTATATACATTGTTTCTGGACCTACTTATACTTTTCTATACTATACTGGCATATTATAATTGTATAGAAATTTAATTGTAGAACGACATTCAATTGTGTTACTGCTGTTTCAGGTTTCGATTGCATATCAAACACTGGGTCAAGCTTATTTTAATATCTACATTAAATTATAACTATACTAATATATCAACTTTAACTATGGGGGATATATTGACCTAAACAGAACACTTAACGTTTTCTTACACAGTTTTCAATATTACTACTACTACTACTTACTTAGTACCTAGGTCTACTCTCCTTTATTTGTAAGTAACAATGATATCATTTCACATCCAATGACAATAAGTAGTGTCTAACCTACGGTTGAAATTTGTTACATGCTTAATAATTATTCACTGTGCTCTTAGATACATATTATATGCATTGTTTTTGTACACAACTCTTTGTGAATTGTATACTGGATAAGTATTTTATCTCTGTACACAACTCTTTGTGAATTGTATACTGGATAAGTATTTTATCATTTCACATATTGTCTTATTGTTAGCAATTTATACAACTGACTTTGTTTTACTACAGTGTAACATATTTACTACTATATTCTTCTTTTTATTGTTGGAAGTTAAAATTCTGTATTAAATTACACTTTATTTTTATTCATTTTGTTAAAATGATAAACTTTATACCCACTCCTACGAAATAGGTAGTGTACCTAAGTCACAGTTAACTCTCTGTTGGGTATTTACAACCAATGAACAAAATACTACTACTACTACTACTACTACTATAGTCGGGGCCAAACGAATGTGCGGTTGGTGGCTCCGCCCACTAGGCGA